CGCCTCCCCCGCCAGCTTTCTGACCAAAGTCTTTCAGAAGGACATCTCTGAATAATGAGATTGCATTGAATCTTCTTAACTTGGTCAAACTCTGGCCTGAAGAGAGTTTATCCTACTCAGGTTTGGGTGGAGACAGACTTGGAGTCAGGAGGACCTGAGTTCAAATCTGACCTCAGACACTTGATACTCACTAGCTAGTAATCCTGGGCAAGTCACTTAACCCCAATTGCCTCACCACACACACACAAAAAAAAGCAATGCGGCAATAGTGGATAATGGAGAGGTCTGAGTCAAGAAGATGGGTTCAAGTCCTGGCCCGAACACATACTCCATCAAGATCTTTTTCACATGAACTGTTGTATAGCCCCATCTCCCACATCCTATACTTGTAGAGTTCATTATTTTAACCCAAAGTGTGGGCCTTACTATTTAAGCCTCTTGAATTATTAGATTTGGCCCATCATTCCAACTTGCTGAGAACATTTTAATGTTAATTCTAGCATTCATTAAATATCCTACTATGTACTAAATACTGTATAAGGTCACTATAATAGAGAATGTCTAGAGAAAAGAGTGCCCAGGAAAGACCCTTGGGATACATCCACAGTTGGGGGAAGAACATGGTTGATAACCCAGTAAAAGTTGGCCTATGGTTTAAAGTATACTGTTTCCGCTTTTGGAAAATAGGAAAATATATGCCCTTCGGTCCCAGGGCACCTTCCATAACCTTTCTAACATAATCTACAGTAGTTCAGCATTGACATTGATGGGGTTCTTGAGTACCTGTACTCAGACCTCAATTCCAAGATCATATTTCTCACTAGTCTCAAAACACTATCCGTAACAGTTTTCTCCCCTGCCTAAAGACCCTATCTCTGACAATAACTCAGGAGTGGGCCCAATGAGGCAAACTATTTCACTATCTCTACCTGTCACAAGAACAAGCTGACCTCTGTAGAACTGCCCTTGTATGAATGAGACTGTCTTACATCAACAAAACTATCATGCACTGATTCCCACAGTTATTGCAGACTATCCAGAGGTCAAGTTATAGACATCAACTCCCAAAACTATCTTGTTACAGACTAACACACCAAAAATACACCCCTCAGGAACCCCCCTCCCAGGTTTCCAGTAGTAAATAATGCCTGTGACTAAGGTTGTATGTTATCACCTAACTGGCATACTCAGCACACAATCCACTACTTTTCCTATATAAGCTTTAGCATCATTCCTGTTAGGTTGCAAATTGCCTTAAGGAGCTGTGTCCACCATGGCAGAATTCCTTAAGGAGCTCTACCTGCCATACTGGTGTTATAATAAACCTTTGCCAACTTGACTTAAAGAATACCTGAGTCCATGAATTCATTCCAGACAACCCTGTCCTGTACTTCAGTCCTTGAGAGGTCCCTGAACTTCTCAAACTGCATCAACATCAGCAAGGTCTTTAATTGTTTTGGGATGTATTTCATCTGTGACTAGTAACATGAACTTATCAAAGGCAGTTAGGAGCCTTGTTACTATTTCCCTACTTACCTAGGCAATCAAATAATGATAAGCTATATTTGTTCTAGCCTTTCGAGTTCAAAACTCATTCTCCAAAGAGAAAAAAGAAAGAGCTGAGTGACTCTACCTTTTTTCCCAGATCTATTATTGTTATCACTGAGGTGAGATCTGCAATAATACTCTCTCTTTTCCTCTACACCTTCCCTGTTTCCTTCAAATCTCAGATAAATACCTGACCTTCTACAGAGAACATTTCCAGATCCCTCCTAATTCCAGCACTTTGCCTCTGTTGATTCTTTCCTATTTATACTGCATATAGCTTGTTGTTATGTAATTGTTTGTATGTTGTCTCCCCCACTAGATTATAAGCTCCTTAAGACAGGGCCTGCACTTTGCCTGCACTATATAAATATCATTGTTAATGATTTTAAAAGGCTTAGCACAGTGCCTGTTGTTGTTCAGTTGGGTCTGATTCTCCCTGATGCCATTTCCTTCTCCAGCGGATTAAGGCAAACACAGGTTAAGGGGCTTGCCCAGGGTCACATAGCTCAAAAGTGTCTGAGGCCAGATTTTAACTCAGGTCTTCCCAACTCCAGGACCAATGTTCTTTGTGTCTTAAACACAGAGTAGGTGCTTTAAAAATGTTTATTGACAGGTTTTTTTGTGCTTTAATATTTTTATATTTCGGTGACATGTACATAATAAATCAATTTCAATCACTAAGTTCTTCCTCATCACTGAAATATGCACTTTTCTTTATCCTTGGGCGTCTTGAATCATCTGATGTTGAGGGTTCCCCTGCACTGGGCTTCCACCTTTGTTGGTCTTCTTCAATTTTGGCTTGCTGGAAAGCTATAGCTTGGCTGAGGCTATCAAGAGCAGGGTCTTCTCCTTCATCCTCACTTTCTTCCACTTCTTCAATTTCTTCTTCCAGTTCAATAATTTTCTTTCTTTTTTTCTTTTCTTTCTTTTTTGGTGGTTCACGTTCTCCAAGCACATTTTTAGGACAAGCATAACTTAGATGACCTGTTTCTCCACATTCATAACACCTAGATTTATCAAAGTAGTTGCGCCTTCGGATGAACTCAGCAGCTCTTCCATTGTCAATAGCAATGCTTGCTTTAATCACTCTCCCAAATAACTGCTTATTGTTTAGTGCCCTCGAACAATTTTGTGCTGATTCTTTATCCAAAAACAAAATAAATGCAACACCTTTACTCTTCCTAGTATCTTTGTCTTTCATAATAGTAACCTTTACAACTTTTCCATATTTTGAAAATATCCTGTACAAGTCATTGTTTGTCAGAGAAAATGGCAAGTTGGATACATATACAGTGCTTTTACTTGGTGCTAATCCACCACTCATTTCTACTCACTTATCTAGACAGCAATGCCCCAGAGTAGAATTCCAAAGCTGAGGAGATCAACTCCCTCAGTGACCTGAGGCACAATCTCTTGAGGTCCAGTCTGGAGGGTGTTATTCCAGGTGGAGAAAAGGGAAGCAGATGGCAAGATGCCCAGGTAGGACTGGGTTTCCTGGTGGATTTCTGGTTGGGATGTGGTTCACAGTCTGGGTCCACCTTTTGCTCACAGCACAAGGCGCTGAGAAATCCTTGGAGTTTCTGGCACCACTGGAGATTCAATCCAACTTTTACCTCCTTAGCTCCAACAGCAGTCAGGATATCACCAGGCCCGATCTATTGACTGATTGATTGCTATGATCCTTGGCAAGTTATTTTGGCTCTTAGGGTCTCAGTTCCCTAAATCTCTTAAAACGAGATTAGACCAGTTTCCTCCTCTGTAAAAGATAAGAGATAAGATAAAAGATAAGAGATAACAGCACCTATTTTACCGGGTTGTGGTGAGGAACAAATTAGGTATAAAGGGCTTTGCAAATCTTAAAGCTCTAAATAAACATTAGCTATTATTGTAATTATATGAGCTGAGTACTATCATAACTATGCACTATCAAGTTTTGGAGAATTCCCCTCAACTTTCCATTCTTCTATTCTTTCTACTCTGCCTCCAATAGAATGAACAGCGTCTATTAGTCAATCGGTCATTAAGCATTTACGAAGCACTTACTAAGTACTAGGTACCAGGTACTAAGCATTGGGGAGTCAAAAAGAGGCAAAACAGTGTCTGGCCTCAAGGAACTTACAATCTAATCGAGGAGACAACTTGTAAACAAATATATACTAAGTAAACCATATACAGGATAAATAGGTCATAGTTAAGAGGGAAGGCACTAGAATTAAGAGAGGTTGATGAAGACTTCCAGTAAAAGAAGTTATTTCAGCTGGGACTAAAGGAAGCTAGGGAGGTCAGTAGGCAGATCAGAGGATGGACAGCCCAGGCATGGAGGAACAGCAGTTAAGAGATAATTCTCAGGGCCAAGACTTTTGCTTGTGGAACATCAAGAGGCCACAGCCATTGATTTGAAGACTGGAAAGGTAGGAGGGGCTAGGTTATGAAGGGCTTGGAAAGTCAAACATACAATTTTCTATTTGTTCCTGGAGGCAATAAGAAGCCACTGGAATTAAATATGAATGGGGTGACATGACTAGAGCTGGGTTTCAGGAAAATCACTTTGGGAGCTGAATGGAGAATGGATTGGAATGGGGAAAAACTTGAGGCAGGATGACCCACCAGCAGGCTACTACAACAGTCCAGGTGTGAGGTGATGAGAGCCCGCATTAGAATGGTGGCAATGTCAGAGACAAGGAAGTGTATGCACCTCGGAGAGATGCTGCAAAGGTGAAACTTACAGGCCTTGGCAACAGCATGGATATGGGGGGCGGGGGAGATGATGAGGAAGCCAGGATGACTCCTCGAGCGTAAGCCTGAGGGACTGGGAGGATGGGGCTGCCCTCTACAGTAATAGGGAAGGTGGGGGTGGGGAAACAGGATATTTGGGAGGATAATGACGGAATAAAAAGAACCCAGCACTTGAAGTTAAGGATAGACCTGGGCTCAATCTTAACGCCTGTGCAAGCATTAACTGGCTGTATAACCGTGGAAAAGTCACTTAACTGGGGCAGCTAGGTGGGAGGTGGATAAAGCACCGGCCCTGGATTCTGGAGGACCTGAGTTCAAATTCAGCCTCAGACACATAACACTTACTAGCTGTGTGACCCTGGGCAGGTCGCTTAACCGCAATGCCTAGCCAAAAACAAACAAACAAAAAAACCCAAAACAAACGAAAAGCCACTTAATGGCTCTAGGCCTATTTCCTCATCCTTAAGGAACTGAAGCACTCCTAGAACTCAAGGTCCACACCCAAGGATGAGCGAGGGAAGCACAAGGCTAAAAGGAAAGGCCCTGTGACACATGTCCCCTTCTCAGACCACAAGCTTGACCCACCTCCGGCGAGGTCGGCAACAGCAGACTGCGAGATCCGGGACCTACAGGCGCGCCAGCCGAGGGGACGACGCCCGCGCGAGTCACTAGGTACGCGATTGGCGAGCCTGAGAAACGTCACTTCCGGAAGCGCTGCCTCCAGTGGCGCCGTAAGCATGAATCCTGCCACCAGCAAGGATTCAGGCCGGCTGCGGGGACGGCCGGGGGTGGGCGTCGGGGTGGTGATTACGAGCTCCAAGCACCCTCAATGCGTTCTGTTGGGGAAAAGGAAAGGGTCCATTGGAGCCGGCACTTTCCAGCTTCCCGGCGGTCACTTGGAATTCGGGTGAGTTCCTTCCGGCGCGCTGCTTCCGGCGTCGCTCTGACGTCAGCGCCTAGCGTTCCCAGGAGGAGGGGCTGGGCGGGGTTAGGCTGACAGCTGTTGGGGGAACTTGAAAGTTCTAAGGGAGTTGGGTTTTAATTCGCTAACCACCGCTAGATCTCCGCTGTAAAGAGGCATTCTCCCCAACTTGTTCGCAATTCCCACTGCAGATTTCTATTGGGCTAGAATAATTTATCGTATTTTGTTGCTGTTCGGTCGTTTTAGTAGCGTCCTAGCTCTTCGTGACCCTATTTGAGGTTTACTTGATAGAGATACTGGAGTGGTTTGCCATTTCCTTTTCAAGCTCATTTTACACATAAGGAAACTGAGGCAAACAAGGTTAAGTGACTTGTCTAGGGTCACACAGCTGGAGTCTGAGGTCTGATATGAACTCCGGTTTTCCTGGTTCAGGTCCCGGCACACTATCCACTGCGCCACCTAGCTGCCCTGCGAGTGTGGTACAAGCTATGTAAATAGGAACTATTATCATTATTGTTACTAATTGCCTGGCACGTAGTAAGCGCCGTATGTTAGCTATTATTCTTAATTGTAAAGCAATAAGCACAATATTAAGTGCTCTATAAGTATTATTAATGATTTTAAAAGCCTTAGCATAGTGCGTGGCATCTTGTTGTTCAGCCGTGTTGGACTCTTTCTGATGCCATTTCCATTTCCGATACATTAAGGCAAACAGGTTAAGTTGACTTGCCCATGGTCTCACAGATAGAAAGCATCTGAGGCCAGATTTGAACACAAGTCTTTCCAACTCTAGGCCCAGTGGTCTATCCACTGAGGCACCTACTGTTAGTGTGTTAACTCTATTCAAATAAATCTGCTTCTCAATGTTGAATGAAATGGATGGAATAAAGCATTTAAGCCCTGTGTTGGAAGCAACGCGCCAAGCTCTGGAGATACAAATAGCCCATCCCTGTTCTTAAATGTTGCACGATGAATGAATCCAGATGGGAGCCAAGTGTTTGAGAGGCTTAGAGGTGGGAGCAAAGGAAGAACTTTCAAGAATGAAATGAGCAGAACCAGGGACACAATTTATATGATGGCAGCAACTGAGAAACAACTTTGCAAGCTACAAGAGCTATGATCCGTGTAATGATCCTTCATGATCTGAAGACATCTGAAAATATTTGAGGTATAGGTAGGGGAGCAGAAGGAAGAAGGCGTGTATGTAGGACAGCAGTCACTTTAGCCAATTACTAGTACTACTCCAGAAGAGACTACTACAAGATAAACATAGGGAAGGAGGGTCAAGATTGTAGAGAGCCTTGAATGCCTAACAAGGCACAGAAGGTAGCCTAGTCATGAGGAAGATGTCTGAATGTACTTTCCTTTGGGAAAGTTAACCTTTGACCTTTAGAGCTTTTCTTACCAGGCTTTCCATCCATTTTGCAGAACATGATGAATGAATGAAAAGAGCCTTTGTTAAGCTCTTACTATATGCTAAGCAGTGTGCTAACTTTTGGAGATAGAAACAGATTGAGACATTTCTGCTGTCAAGGAGTTCATGCTCTAATTGAAGGAGCTAACATGAAAGAAAGGACAGTTGCAGGGTGGTAGATAGAAGGTCCTGGAAGCCTCAAGAGCATAAAGGGCCAAGGAGATGGCAAGGCCTGGGGTCTTTAGGTTACAAGTGGTCAACTAGCCTTTGCTTGAAGACCTCCAGTGGTCAGGCAGGAACCACTACCTCCAGAGGCAGCCCATTCCACTTTGGGACAACTGTCATTGGGAAGAGGTTTTTCCTTTAGTTAAGCCTTAATTTGCCAATCTGTAGCTTCTAGTAATTGCTCCTAGCTCTGCCCTCTGAATCCAAACTAGGAAGTTAAATCACTTCATAACTTAGCCCCCTCCTGCCTTTCCAGTCTTCTTACACCTCTTTGATCCAGTGACACTGGCCTTCTGGCTGTTCCACAAAAAAGACACTCCACCTCTCAGCTCCAGGCATTCTCTCTAGATATCTCACATATCTAGAATGTTCTTCCTCCCTAATTCTGATTCTGAATTCTGATTCCTCCAGGAATTCTAATTACTGACCTGGATGACTTCCTTTAAGTTCCAATTAAAATCCCACCTGCTATAAGAAGCCTTCCCCAACCCCTCTAAATTCCAATGCCTACTCTCTGCTAATTATCACCTATTTATCCTGTATATAGCTTGCTTCGTATCTATTTGTTTGTATGTTGGCTCCCGTTAGAATCCCTCTTTGAGGGCAGGAACCGTGTTTTGCCTCTTTTTGTATCCTCAGCACTTAGCACTGGACCTGACACATAGTAGGTGCTTAATAAATGTTGATTGATTGAATACTGAACTTTGGACTATAGTTTTTTAATCTGTAAATTGAAAGGTTTGGACTAGATGATATTTCAGTTTCCTTCCAGGTCTGTTTATCTCTGACTGATGAACTAAAATTATTTAATCACACTTAAAAAGAATTAAACCTAATCTCTGTATAGTCAATTGGGTTGACCCAGGAATCATTAAATTTAATGTGTGGTGGACAGTTGTAATATTAGAAAGGTGAAGGTGACTTGCTGAATAAATTGTTTCTGAGTGTTGATTTCAATGGATATCATAAGGTTGATGATTTTTTTAACTGATTTTTTTTTAAAAATTCAGCTATTTAATTTAATATGGAAAGCTGTAATAATTTATCATTTCCTCCCTAGAGATTGAATCTAGAAGTTAATCAGATGAGCTCTAAAGATGTATAACATTAATAGTGAAGATATATTAATATAGACCTTTTTGCCAGAAGCAATATCTTCCTTGTTAGAGACTAGAAATAAAGATGAATTGTCCTCAGAATTCAAGATATATGTGTATGTATATGTGTGTATATACACATATGTATATACACACATATACACGTGTTTGTGTGTGTATATACCTATACACTCGTGTGTATGTATATATGCGTATATACACATACATATATATGTGTGTATGTATATACTAGCATAATGGCCACTAATCAACTAATGTCCTTTAGTAATTACTACTTGCCTCATCAGATTAATAATGTATTTGGTTTACCTCGTAGTAAACTCTTAGCACAACAAAGAGCATTTAAAAAACAGCTATAGGAACAAAATTAAGTATGAGTAAATATACCTGTAGATCAGCAGGCTTTTATTTAGTACCTATTGGGTGCTAATCACTCCAGACACAAGGACAGAAGTGAAAAAGACCCTTCTCTAAAGGAGTATATAGTCTAGTTAGGTAAGACAACATTAATATATAGAGGTATATTCAAAATACAAGGTAATTTTCACTAGCAGCTGACAGGGGCAGGGAGATTAGAAAAAGCTTCAGGATGTATGTGGCATTTGAGTTGAATCTTGAAAAAAGAGGGATTCTAAAAGTGTGAGAGGGTACATTCCAGGCATGGGTGGGAGCCAGCAGCCAGGCATGATAGGATGTGAAGGGCTGTGTGTCTGACAAAGGAAGAAGGCCAGTTTGCCTGGATTGTAGTGTGTGTAAAGGGGAGAAAGGTAGGAAGGGGCAAACTGAGGAGTTTATCTTTAATCCTAGAAGTAATTGGTAGTCACTGGGGTTTATTGAGTAGGGGTGTGACTTTATGAAAGTCACTTTGGGTAGCTTTGTGGAGGATGGATTGGGAATGGAGGGAGACTTGAGGCAGGGAGACCAATTGAATGGAATGAATAAGTGAAAAATCATTTATTAAGTGCTTTTTATATGCTAAGCATTATATTAAGTGCTAGGGTTACAGGTAGGAAAAAAAAAGATCATTCCTACTTTCAAGGAGTTCACACTAATTGGATGAGATATCACATAAAAGAAAGTTCAGCTACAGGATGGATAGTAATGCCCAGATAGCCAAAGTAGGTGGAAATGGGGTAGATGGTAGGGCAGTAGTTTACATATGAGAAAACTGAGGCTCAGAGAGGGATAATAATTTGCCCAAGATAAATACAGCTGGTAAGTGTCAGGCCCAGCTTTTGAACCTTGATTTTCTGACTCTCAAATCCTGCTTTTCTTTGTTTGTTTTATTACACTCTAGAATGGCAGGGGCATGGTGGGTTTCCTTCTGAATGTATCATTTTGAGGTTTTTGAACCAATTAAAATGATTCTTGCTGTACCTTGAAGTTTTTATTTATTAAAAGTTTTATAAATCAAGGTGAACACCATAGTGTACTTCTATTGTCTTTCCAGTGAAAGCTGGGAAGAATGTGCTGAGAGGGAAACCTTGGAAGAAGCCGCTCTTCACCTGAAAAATGTTCGCTTTGCTTCTGTTGTCAATTCTGTCAGCGAGAAGGATGATTACCATTATGTCACTATATTGATGAAAGGAGAAGTGGACGTGGCTTATGATTCAGAGCCAAAGAACACAGAACCTGAAAAAAATGAAGGTAAGTTGGATTTGTAGTGATCTTTATTCTTTGGGGGAAGAATATGAAATTGTGGGCAGTCTAGTCTACTCATTAGATTATTCGGTTATCTTGTTGGCTTTTGGAAGTGTTTTAGACACTGCTGTGACTGTAAGCCAGTCATTTCTTTTCTTTTCTTTTTCAACTAATTAATTTGCTTATTCCTTCATTTATCTATTTTCATTTTGAACATTCACTTCTATAAGATTTTGAGTTCTAAATTTTCTCCCCCTCTTTCCCCTCCTCCCTCCCCAAGACAGCATGCAATCTGATGTTGGCTCTACATATACATTCATATTAAACAAATTTTCATATTAGTCAAAGCCAGTCATTTAAATCCCGAAATCAAATAAGGATAGCAGTACTTATAAAGAGAGCTTCTACTCATTTAGCACTTGATTGTTCACACGGAGCCATAGTCAGAGCAAAGAGTAGGGGTCATGTTTCATCTGCCTTCTCCTAAAATGAACAGTGACATGCCCTGAACTCTTTAAGGAAGGAAGACTTTTATATACAGATGCTTAACAGGCAGGCATTAGCCCAAGCATTAGCTTAAGCAGAATTAAATTATGACTTATTTAAAGTATGAAAATATGTTAATGCTGCTAAACTATAGTTTAATAATTTGAATTCAATTCAAGTATATTTAAATTTATTACCTTTCGATACAGTTGTATATTTTATCTATAATTTAATTTATAATTACATATTTATAATCCCTTTGTGGATCTTGAAATCATGTGGCAAAAAGAGCCAAGTTCCAAATTCCTTCCAACTCTAGAAACATAAACCTCATTCTTAGAATTAGCAGGGTAATGAGCTCCTTGTTTCTAATACCTAAGGGAATAAATGGATGCTGTCGAATAGGCCTTCCCTTAACAGCTTAGCCAGCTTAGACCACCATCAGAGCCCTCTAACTGGTCTCCCAGCCTCAAGCCCCTCCCCACTCCCATTTATTCTCCACTCAGCTGTCAAGGTGACTTTTCTAAATCGAGCCTCTGACCATGGCACTCCCTTTACTTCATGAACTTCTAGTAGTCTGCTGTTACTGTTAGGTGACACCAGGTCCTCTGTTTCTCATTTAAAGTCCTTCACAACCTGACCCCTTCCTATGTTTACTTATTGATATGTCCTAAAATTTTGCCAGGAATAGGAGACAAGCTCTCCAGCTTAGAGTTGGCAGATTTCATTGTCTTTTTTGAAAATTGAGGTAATTGTTAGTCCTTTCTTTGGTCCTTTGGAATCTCTTTCATTCTCTAAGATCTTCCTGGGATTGTCAACAACAGCTCTACAAGTGCCAGTTCTCTCAGTCCTTTGGCATGTAGTTTATCCAGACCTGGTGACTTGAACTCATTAGGTCAGCCCTGTTAACAGTTCTGTTCCTCATCTTGCCTTGACACTGATTGCTACCCTTTTGTGTTCTATCCTCTGGAAAGAAGACAGGAGTAACTAAACTTGAGTAGCTCAGTCTTCTCAGCATCCTCAGTTATCATCATGTCATTTATCCTAAGCAGCATTCCTCCTCCTATTTGAGCTTTACATTGCCTCCAACAGAGGTGGGGGGACCGGGGGCAGAAGTGGGAGTGGGGACACACAAAAAGCTTTGCTGTGCTTAGCATTCATCACCAGCTTTAGCACATTCTAGGTTTTGGCTCTCAATAGAATTCTTAATGAGTTATGCTATCTTTTTGTATTTATCCTCATTTACTTACTCCTATATATATCTTCTATTCAACTCTTTTTAAACAATCTGATAATTGGTCTCTTTAGACAGCTCCTTTATTATCATATCGTCATAATTTCTTCTTGTGTTTCCCAAAACTCATTTTTTTTTTTTGACTAGGCAATGGGGTTAAGTGACTTTGCCCAGGGGTCACACAGCTAATAAGTGTCACGTGTCTGAGGTCGAATTTGAACTCAGGTCCTCTTGAATCCAGGGCAGATGCTCTATCCACTGCACCACCTAGCTGCCCCCCCCCCCCAAAACTTATTCTTAAGAATGTTCCATCAATCTCAGGCTGATTTCTACCTGCAAAATAATGAGTTATTAGAGCTTACCTTTCTCTGAACCCTTTTATATCTGCACTCTCAAAATAGAAGGCACATTTTAGATTATTCTTGGATTTTAAATCTTTTTCTCTCAGAAACTCTGGGGAGTCCTTTGTGCCTAGGATTCCTACTATTTCTGCTCAGGCAAACCAGTTTGAAATTCGTCAGAATCAACTCCAGTATAGCAGTTCCGCTTGACACTTCTTTCACCTTTGGAAGAATGAAATTATCATTAAGGCAAGCCACGAATGTTTTAGCTGCTCTGCTTTTGGCAGAACTCTAGCACAGGGAAGTTTTAACCATCCAAACATCACTTACATTTTGCTTCTGTGTCAGGGTTGGGATGGTTTTCTAAACTTCTAAAAATCTCGTTCCTTCCGTCCAGGTGATTTGTGTTGTCATTGTAACTCTACTGCTGTATCACTGTCTCTCCTCTTGATCCTCAGCCATCATATTCCTCTCTTTAGGTGCTTGAAAGGGAGTTTACGTTTTTAATATGTAATGTCACTCCTTTTCCTTTTTTTAAATGCTTTTCTCTTTTATTAAATAAGATAGATCTTCCCTTTCAGAGTCAAATTCTAGTCATGATTCCCATCCAACCAAATCTTGCCCAAACTGAGTTTTAAAAATTTTTTCTTTTATGCAAAGTGATGTTCTACTGTTCTTCATTTCTGATTAACCATTTAGTTGTTTCCAAGAAATCATTTCCCCTCATTATAGAGATAAATCATCATATTATGTTGAAAACAATAGATTATAACCACAAAAATAATAAGAAATGTTTATTTCTATAATTATAGAATTTTAGACCTGGAAAGAACTTCATGATTATCCTCTTCAATTCTCTAAATTCACTGATGAGAAAGGAAACTGAGGTTTTAATGAAAATAAAGACCTATAATTCTAAAAAAAACTTTCTGGAATTTTGATTTGCCATTATTTGAATTGATACTGTAAAATCTTAAATGTATTTAGTCATATTCTATTTTTTATAATAAAATGGTCCCAATAAAGTTAACTAAAGAAATCACATGTTCAACCAGTTTGCTTTAAAAATTATTTCCTTAATATATTCATGTAAATCAGAAATCATCTTTATTCCTTTAAGTGAAATTATGGTATCACCATTTCATTTTATTTAGGCATTTTTGAGTTTTCCTTCCAAAAACATGTAAACTTACCACCATAAACATCTTTTTCCTTCCAACTAATTTTATTTTTTATTCATTTTCTGTTTTCCAGGTTGGGAATGGGTTCCATGGGAAGATTTCCCTCCACTAGATCAACTCTTCTGGGCTTTGCGATGTTTAAAGGAACAAGGCTACAATCCTTTTAAGGAAGAATTGAATCATCTAATGGGGTACAGAGGAAATCATCAATAGAGCACCTGCATATCAATTAATTCATTTTAGGAAGGAAAGTTATAGAGTATACCAAAAAACCTCAAGTGTTCTAGAAAACAGTGAAGCTTCCAATAGAAGATAAGTAGCTTATGTATTCTGGTACCACAATAAGCAGGTGAGGCTATGTGAAAGTAGAGAGTTGGCTTCAGAGTGGGGAAGACTTGCACTCAGCCATTTTCAATTTAGTGGCTGTTTGCCACCTCAGAGTACACAACATAGTATACAACAGACTGAAAGGGGGACTGGAACTCTCATGGGGGAACCTTCTCGCACCCTCCCCTTCAACAAGGCAGGTCAGCAGCTTCTCTGTTACTGTAGTTTTAGAAAGTTGCCAAAGCTACGAGAGCGTCCGCAGCCAGGAAGCGTTTGTTAACAGAGACTGCATTTGAACCCAGGTCATAGTGTCTGAAATGAGAGGATTGGATTAGATAACTTTATGGTCCATTTCAGCTCCAAGTCTTATTCATGAAAAACAGTCCCTCCTGTCTCAGGAGATTGCTTCTGCAGTTTTAAAAATGCCAGCCAGTGGGGATTTTGTGATTGTAAGGATAGCAGTTGCTCCATAAGACAGGGTCCTGAGCCACAGACAAAAAGGGACTTTATTTCTCAAATGGGATTTTAGTCCTAAACTAGGGATGAACTAGCAAAAAACCAATGAGCTTGTGTTTTTCTTTTCTTTTTTTTCCATTTTTATTTTATTTTTAACTTATGGAATAAAACATAATTATGACAAAACATGATTGCACATGAAACTGCAAATCTATTCTATACAAGTTGCTATTCTTTTTGAATATAGAATACAATTATTATATAAATTTTTTTCTTTCCTCTCTCCCAACCTAGAGAAGGCAACCATTAGATACAAATGTGTGTCTGTGTGCATATGTATGTATGTATGTGTGTATGGGTGTGTGTGTGTGTGTGTGTGTGTATATACACACACATGCTTCTATTTATCAATTCTTTGTATGGATACAAATAGCATCTTCCTTCATATTTTGTAGTTAATTTATAATAGTCAAAATGACTTAATTGCTCAAAGTTGTGCTTAAAAACAATGTTGCTGTTACTGTATGTAGTGTTCTCTTGGTTCTGCTCATTTCTTTGTTCATTTTTTCATGCAAGCCTAGCCACGTTTTTCTAAGATCATCAAACTCATCATTTCTTATAGCACAGTAGTATTCCATCATGATCATATGCTACAATTTATTCAGCCATTCCCCAATTAACTGGCGTCCCCAAAATTTCTAGTTCTTTGCCACCACAAGGAAAGCTACTGTAAATATTTTAGAGCATATAGGTCCTTTTCCTTTTTCCCTAATCATCTTTGGAAATAGACCTACTAATGGTATTGCTGGGTTTGAGGTTATAGGCAGTTTAATAACTCTTTGGGCATAATTCCAGATTGTTTTCCTAAAATGGTTCAATCAGTTCATAGTTCCACCCACAATGAATTAGTGTCCTAATTTTTCACGACCCCTCCAACATTTGTCACTTTCCCCTTGATCAAGTGTTTTTCAGAGTGTGTTCCATGAAGCCTTGGTGTTCTGCAAAGACAAACAAATTATAATGATGGACAAACGGGCCCAGCGAATCCATCTGTTTTGGTGTGTCAGTTTCTCATAAAATGTGCATTTAGTCATTGTGGAGAACCATAGTATTTGGCTGAAATAAATTATAGTACTAAAGTGTTAGGTTTTTATTGGAATAGAATCGATCATTGAATGTGCCTAATAGTATCTCAATAGTTCATGAAAAATCATTAATGCCTATTTATTATCTTTAGTGTTTTTTTAAGTAGATTTATTTTCATATCAATTTCCATTTTGGTAATTAAGTAAAATCAGTTTAATTGATAATATAAGAAGGCAAAAAAAGTAAGCAAAACTTAGCTGAGGTGCAGGGGGAAAAGAGTGTTAAATTTGGAATCAATGGAACTCACTTCAAATCCTGCTACTATATATCTGACCCTAGCCATGTCATGTCATGTCACCTCCTCTGGGCCTTAGTTTATTCATCTGTAAAAGGAGGGGACTGGACTAGATGCTTTCTGAAGTCCCTTGCAGCTCTAAGTCTGTGGTCCTCTGAACTCTGACATGAAACACACCTCCACAAAGCCAGTAAGGGGACCGCATTCCAAAAGCAGATGAAATACAAACAGGAACCCAGTGTCAAACCTTAATCCCCTGTGTTGAACCTTGGGGCAAGTCACTTTACTTCTCTGAAGCGAGGAAACTGGACAAGAGAGGTCCCTTTCACTCTACATACGCGATTCTACAATGCTGCTTTCTCCAATGTAGTTTTATTTCAAGTTCCTTGATTCTTGCAAAATATTCTTGCACTTAGAAAGCAAAATTCAAAATTTGTAGGTGAAAGTATTATGGAATAATCCCAGTTAAATGGAAAATAAAGAATGTGAAGTATTTTATGTGAAATCCGGCGTTTAGTGTTGTCCTAATCATAAAACACCATAGCAAACAATTCCATCTTTCTCACCCAATATTAGATTTATAATAAAGTTCGCATGAACAGGCATTTTTATTAGTTTAAATTAGCTTCGGTTATTTGGTCTCATATAGGACACAACCTCTTCTTCTCCATCCTTTAACAAAAGCTTTCCTCCAGGCTTGGAGACCTCCAAGGTGTGACCTGACTGCAGCCTAACTTTCTCAGGTAGTTCACGTTGTTCTCCTGGCACTCTACATTCCAACCAAACTGGCCTACTTAGAGAACCTCCCTGTTGTAGGTCAGGGAAAAATGAGACATTTGTAGACCATCAAATATTTTTTAAAAGGAAGCTTATTTAGTCATATAGCACGGAAAGAAGAATCAACGAGGAAACAGTATTAATTCAGTTCAGTGCAACTTCCCTGCTTCTCGGTTGGCCTTGAGGTCAATACCTTTTAAAAGAAGAACTAGCAAGCCTGGAGATACTGTCTTCCCATGCCCCAGCCTTGGCAAGGCAAGGTCCTAAACATTTTCTAAAGGATCACTTAAAGGCTTTAGGGCTGCTGGTATGTAGCCCTCATCTAAGGGGTGTGAGAAGTCTTAGCTAGCATTGGAAAAGCTTAATAGAGGTAATATGGGAGACCAGGAATCCCAAATTTCCTTTCGGCATTGAAAGTGCTTCTTATCTTGACAATTTTGTCCGTGTGGTAGATGATGACAGATCTATGCTGTTCACGGTGGGTCTCCCAAGGAAAAGGGTGATTTTCAGTTGGAATAACACACCAGAAACATCAGGTCCACAGAGAAGATAGATTCCAACAGACTTGCCAATCCTCATCATGGGTCAAAGTAATCTATATTTGAAGTGGCTAAGAGCTCATAACTATTTTGCACACAGCCTGTCGATATGTCAGTGCAGAGAATCACCCTGTACTATCACTCACCAGGTATTCCTTAGCCCATCAACCAGGACCTGCCCTTCCTTGGGAGTACCATGGCTTTGACCTCCGCTCAGTGATGGTTCTCATTTTTCTAAGGGGCACCTTAGAAAGCAAGGGACCACTTCTAATTATATCCAAGCCATACTGGGAATCCCAATTATTATGGGATACTATCCTGGCACAGTGTGGGTACATCAGTTCCAGGTTACAGTAAGCAAAAAGGTTTATATTAGACTTGACTTTGCTGTTGCCCAATTCCATCCTTGAAACCTGTAGCACTGTTACTTTCCCTGGGACCTGTGCTACTCCCCCACACCTCAGCCCACTATGCCATCCGAAGCAAGGGGTGTCTGGCCACTGCTACAGTGTGTTAGGTCGATTCACTCCCACAGAGAGTCCTGTCACCCTACCCTAAGCCAGGAATCCACTGGGATCCACTCTATAGGGACCCTCTCCCACACTTCACTGGAAGCCCCAGAGGGGTTACAACTCAGAGAAATTGAAGTTGAAACTGTTTTACACTTTTAAAAACTGTTGTAACCTTACCCTGTACTTGGCAACTCAACATGAGTACATTTGGCACATTTCCTCAGCTCTGATTTCAGAAAAGTCTCTAGGTCCTTGGGAGTAATAAAACATTATTTTTTTGTGGAAGTACACTCACCTAGGCCTCAGGTATGTTATAAAAAATTAGGATACACCATTGCGGTAGTCTAGTCTGGAAACCTTTTACTATTTTGACCAAAAGCTCAAATCAATTTTTAGAAACAAGTCAAAGTCCTGGGAGGAACACTGGTCTCTCCAAAAACAGAATCAATCACAACCAGATAAAACACAAGGGACCTCCTTTTAATCATGTAAGAGCAGTACCTCTTTCTCTACCCTTGAGCAGAATGAATGGATTTAGATCCTCTAGGGTATGCCTAAATTGCAATTGTTCTGTATTCAAATCCCATTTCTGATGCTTACTACCTATGACCTTGAGTCAGTCTCTTCTTAAGCCTATTTCCTCAACTCTGAAATAAGGGGTTTGGCCTAGATGGTCTCTGGGAATTTACTTCCAGCTTTAAAACCAAAGATCCTACGAAATCACTAAAAAATTCTGATGCAAACTGTACCCAAGTTTTATCTTCCTTTGGAATTTTATGTCTCCTGAAGCCTGTAAATATTGTAAATAGAATATGGTTTGGGTCAAAAGGATTTACAACTAGCAGGGGAAACACTGCTCTTTGTATTTCTCCCTAAGCAGAGATGCTTGGGATTGGGCAGGTAGGTGATGCAGTAGATAGAGGGCCAAGCCTGAAGTAAGGAAGATTCATCTTCCTGAGTTCAAATCTGGCCTCAGACACTTCCTTGTTGTGTGACCCTGGACAAGTCATTTAATGCCATTTCCCTCTCTTTTCATCTGTAAAATGAGCTGGAAAAGGAAATGGCAAACCACTATAGCATCTTTGCCAAGAACACTCCAATTATGGTATCACGAAGAATCGGACGCAACTAAATCAACACAACAACAAAAGATACTTAGACTTATTTAATATTTTTGACTGATTTGTGCCAAACAAGTAATGAGTTTTTCTTCTACATTTAAGTGTCTCCTCTAGAGTCTTACATCAAAGAATTCCAATAAAGTCCATGTGGCACAATTTACAATTGCGCCGCCCCCCCCCAAGTGCCATATGAAAAAATCACAAGTAGTTTAGACAATCCCAAAATTCAAGTCAGAGAAGTAGACGAACCCAACTACCATAGCCAGTGGGTCAGGAGATCACTACTACTTTTAAGTACAAAAACTGAAAATTCTACAAATGAGTTTACAGCATACACTGGGATGTCATTCTTAAAGGTGCTGGGCACATTCACATCTGTCTAGTTGCTGAATATCCACAAAATGCTCCTTAAGCCTCCTGGGGTCAATTGGGGATGCCTCGAAGTATGCAACACTGCCAGAATCATGGAAGCCACCCGGGGAATCACACTTCTGCCACAACCTCATCCAATACAATCCTAATGACTACGGCAACTGTTTGTCTCGAGTGAAATTTAACAAAAAGATAAACTAAAGCAATTATCCAAGCAGGATATCATTTATTAATAGGGGTATGCAACCTGGTAATAAAGGGGTCCATGGCCTGCCTCCATTTGTTGGCCTCCAGAGTGAAGGCCTTTTAAACCTACTATATCTTCCTTCTGATTTGCCTGGCAAATCATCACTGGGATCTCCCCTGGCAAGTGCAAGGCTATCCAGATTAGCAGGCATTTTTATGAGGAGGTGGGTTACGTTCTCAGCTCCTCCCTATTACTTCATCACTGGGGGGCAGGACTAATCTTCAGGTGATAGGAAAGTGGGCTAGCCTTCAGATGCGGCCCCTCCCTAACATTTAAGGAATGCTAGTTACTTTATGAGACCCAGTTGCCTCCAGAAATCTTGGCCAGAAAAACAAAAACCATCTCAATCAAGGTCATTCTCTGGTTTGGTCTCCCCTATGTAGACCAAGTCACCCCTAACTTCAATTAGAAAGCAAGGATAAGAGACTTATCCCCTGAAGAGGGCCTAGCTCAATCCCTCCCTTCAGGGTAAACTGCTTTCAGAAGTGGGGTGTGACAAAATGAGGAAAAAGATGGATTACAGAGTAATATTGTTAAATAACACAGCATAATATTAATTTTCCTCATATTGTAGGGCAGGTCTGACAGGCTAATCTGGTGGTTCACGTTTGGGACTGGAACAAAATGAGACATTCTCTACACCATCTAACAATTAACCAAAGGAAGTTTAGTTAGCCGTAGCATGGAAAGAATATTCAGCAAGCATATGGCATTAATTCAGTTGACTGCAGCTTCCCCGTTTTGGCTTAGTCATGGTGGTCTTTAAGTCAGAAACCTGAAGAAGAAGCTCCTGACTCCCAGTATGCTGATTGTTTTATGTAGGCCACCAGGTGTCTTGTCTATGTATTGAAATCCCAAGTATGGTTTTTCAATACTTCTAAGGAAAAACTAGTCTCACTTGCATGGATCAGGGCCCTAGGAGATATTTCTCCTACATTTGATCTCCTGTTTCTATACTTTTTCACAAGCTATTTATTCCTCCTCCTAACCTGTCCATGCCTAGAATGCACCAATACTCCCTTCTTGGTGCAAAATTATGATCAATATTCAGAATAAGATATATTCCACCAGAAATAATTTCCCATCTTCCATTAAAAGTACTGTTTATACTTTTAAATGTACAATGGTGAGTTTATTTACAAAAACATTTACGTTAATTACACATGAAACTCACTTCATCACTGTACTCTTGAGATAGTAATGAAATACAATTTTCAAGCAAAAGACAGTAAGTAAACTTTGCTTTCAAATGAGATGTTTGGTTATATCTTTAAAACATGTAATAAGTTCACAGATCTATGAGACAGTAGAGCTGTTAGCAAAACACCTAAGTGTCATTCATTTTTCTACAGCCTCCTATCCAGTTACATTAGTCCAATATAACTGGAACAGGCCTGGAAAAGACAGCTCTTAAGGCATATCCTCCAGAAAACTGAAAAATATACTCCAATAATAAAAGTCACACCAACCACTTTAATAAATACTTTGTACTGGTGGGCTGGATCTGAAATCATGATTTTGATTATGAAAACAAAGTCCACGGAGGTACTGAACAGGCTGAACATTTACACAATAGACAACTGTTACAGGTTTTTGGTTCTGCATGCTTGTTTCAGTATTTCTGTGATCAGATGTAGTACATTTTTCTCTGGCATGACTCTTAATCAGAGTCACTGCTGCTACTTGAGGAGTCTGTGGACATGACTTCCACATCATCTTCATTTTCCTTATTGTGCCCAGGTGGCTCCAACATAAAGTCATTGCTGTGATTTGGAGGCAACATGTTAACTGACATATCACTTGACTGCCATGGGTATTGTGGAGCAAGAACATCTGGAAAAAAAAAATATCATTTTAATCCAATTTGTCTATCTTCTTTTTAACAGGGAAAACTATCTGTAACCAAAAACAAACAAACAGACAAACTGAAAAACCTGACAGAAATAACAAAAATCTAATGTTTATTAGGGAAGAGTTCTATTTTATCAGCTGGGAGTAGGGTGTCCAAGCAGCTAGGTGGCACAGTGGATAGAGTGCCAGGCCTGGAGTCAGGAAGACTCATCTTTCTGAGTTCAAATCCAGCCTCAGATGCTTGCTGTATGACTGTAGGCAAGTCACTTAACCCTGTTTGCTTCAGTTCCTCATATGTAAAATGAGCTGGAGAAGGAAATGGTAAACCACTCTAGTATCTTTGCCAAAAAAACCCAAAATGGGATCATGAAGAGTCAGACATGATTGTAATGACTAAACAACAACATAAAATGCTGTCCAAAGAGATGTGCCAGATAAAACGATTCATGTTATAAAACCACACTTTTATGAAAATACAATGCTTGGCATTCAGCTAAAATAAAGAATTTTTAAATAAGTTCCAAATGTTTAAATATAAATCAAGTGTTTCTAATATGATAAAGTGTCAAAAATAGGGTTGGTCATTGTAATTATTTAGAATGTAGAAGTGGCAATGAGGGGAGCTGCTTTTCTGTAAATACTTCTCTGATCAACAAGAAAGAATAAATTGACAACATGGAGATGGCATTGGACCTTGGAAGAAAGTGATTAAATCACCTTGGAGTTGAAGAGGCTTATTCCTATGGTTAGATAATCTACAAGGGAATTTGACTCAGAAAGAATGGGAGAGTATAAAAATTAATCTATGATTATGATTGTTAACTTAATGAGGCACAAAAGGAAGAGATGTCAGGAAACCAACTGTAGCTCTCCAAGTTGAGATTAAAAACAGGAAGTGTATGTCAAAGATGGGTTGAAAATAACTAAGGTTTAGTATAGAGATAGATGTGTAATAATGGTATTAGAAAATGGCACTAGAAGAAGGAGGGGGGAAATGGAATGGGGTAAATTATTCCACATAAAAGAGGCACGAAAGAGCTACTATAATGGAGGGGGATGGGTGGGCAAAGCTTAAACCTTACTCTCATCAAAATTGGCTCAAAGAGTCAATAACATACACCCTCAGGTAGATATAGAAATCTATTGTACCCTATAAGGAAGTAAAAAGGAATGGTAATAATAGAAGAGGTGGGAGGGGGACTGATAAAAGCAAGAGTACATTGGGGAAGGCAGTGATCAGAAGTAAAACACTTGTGAGGAAGGAAAGGGTGGGGTGTAAGAGAGAGGGGTGGGAATAAACAAGTGAAAAATAGCACAGAGGAAAATACAGAGTTACAACTATAAATGTGAATGGGATGAACTCTCCTATAAAACTGAAGCAGATAGCAGAATGTATTAAAAACCAGACTCCTATGATACGTTGTTTACAAGAAACACATTTGAAGCAGAGAGACACACATACGGTAAAGGTAAGGAACCAGAGCAGAATCTACTATGCTTTAGCTGAAGTAAAAAAACCAGAGGTAGCAATCAGACAAAGCAAAAGCAAAAATAGATCTAATGAAAAGAGATAAAGAAGGAAACTATATCTTGTTGAAATAGACAATGAAATCATATCAATATAAAACATATGCACCAAATGGTATAGCATCTAAATTTCTGAAGAAGCTGAATGAGTTACAGGAGGAAATAGATAATAAAACTATACTGTAGTGGGGGACCTCAACTTTTCCCTCTCATAAGAAGGCAAATAAAATTCTGGAAAAGTGAGATATGATAGACCTCTGGAGAAATTGAATGGGGACAGAAAGGAATATACCCTTTTCTCAGCAGTACATGGCACTTACACAAAAACTGATCATGTATTAGGACATAAAAACCTCACAACCAAATGCAGAAAAGCAGAAATAGTAAACACATCCTTTTCAGATCATAATGCAATAAAAATTACATTCAATAATGGACAATGGAAAGAAAGATTAAAAATGAATTGGAAATTAAATGATCTAATACTAAAAAACAAATGGGTTAAAGAATAAATCACAATTTCATTAAAGGAAATGACAACAATGAGCAACATACCAGAATTTATAGGATGCAGCCAAAGCAGTACTTAGGGGAAAATTTTATCTCTAATTGCTTACATCAACAACATAGAAAAAAAGCAGAGGAATGAACTGGGCATGCAACTAAAAAAAATAAAAAAAGAACAAATTAAAAATCCCCAATTAAAGACCAAATTGGAAATCCTGAAAATCAAAGGAAAGATTAATAAAACTGAAAGTTAAGAAAACCACTGATTAATAAATAAAACTAGGAACCGGTTTTATGGGGGCAAAAACAATAAAACAGATAAACCATTGGTTAATTTGATTAATAAAAGGAAAGAAGAAAGCCAAATTACTGGTATCAAAAATGTAATGAATGAATTCACCACCAATGAAGAGGAAATTAAGACAATTAGGAGTTAGTTTTCCCAATTATATGCCAATAAATTTGACAATCTAAATGAAATGGATGAATATCTACAAAAACATAAATTACCCAGATTAAAAGAAAAAGAAATAAAATACTTAAATAACCCAATGTTAAAAAAAGAAATTGAACAAGCCATTAATGGACTTCCTAAAAAAAAATCCCCAAGACCAGATAGATTCACAAGCGAATTCTACCAAACATTTAAACAATTAATCCCAATACTATATAAAGTATTTGGAAAAATGAGTGAAGAAGGAGTTCTACCAAATTCCTTTTATGACACAAATATGGTGCTGACATCCAGAGCAGGAGGAGCCAAAACAGAGAAAGAAAATTATAGACCACTTTCCCTAATGATTATCGATGTAAAAATTTTAAATAAAATACTAGCAAGGATACTGCAGCAACATATCACAAGGATCATGAGCTATGACCAAGTGGGATTCATACCAGGAACGCAGGGCTGGTTCAAATAAGGAAAACTATCAGCATAAATGACCATATCGATGATAAAACCAACAGAAATCATATGACCATCTCAAGAGATGCCGAAAAAGCCTTTGACAAAATACAGCACCCACTGCTATTAAAAACACTAGAGAGCATAGGAATAAATGAAGCTACCTCAAAATGATAAGTAATATTTACCTAAAATCATCAGCAAGCATTATCTGTAATGGGAGTAAGTCAGAAGCCTTCCCAATACAATCAGGGGTGAAGCAAGGATGCCCATTATCACCTCTATTATTTAATACTGTACTAGAAATGTTAGCTGTAGCAGTAAAAGAAGAAAAAGAAACGAAAGAAATTGGAATAGACCACGAAGAAACAAAACCAGCACTCTTTGCAGACGATATGACACTATACTTAGAAAATCCTAGAGAACCAACTAAAAAACTACTTGAAATTATTAACAACTTTAGCAAAGTTGCAGGATACAAAATAAACCCACATAAATCATCAGCATTTTTATATATTACCAATAGAATCCAGCAGCAAGAAATAGAGAAATTCCATTTAAAATAACTGCAGACAATATAAATACTTGGGAGTCTACCTGCCAAGACAAACCCAGGAACTATATGAACACAACTATAAAATACTTTTCACACAAATAAAGTCAGATCTGCACAATTGGAAAAACATTAATTGCTCATGGGTAGGCTGAGCCAATATAATAAAAATGTCAATTCTATCTAAATTAACCTATTTATTCAGTGCCATACCAATCAAACTACCAAAACTCATTTTATAAATAAACTAGAAAAAATAATTTAAAAAATTCATCTGGAAGAACAAAAGCTCAAAGATATCAAGGGAATCAATGAAAAAAAAAAGCGAAGGAAGGTAGTCAAGCCAACCCAGATCTCAAATTGTATTATAAAGCAGTAATTATCAAAATAATATGGTACTGGCTAAGAAAAAGAATGGAGGATCAGTGGAATAAATTAGGTACATTATAGTAAATGACCATAGTAATCTAGTATATGATAAACCCAAACATCCAAGCTTTTGGAACAAATACTCATTATTTAACAAAAACTGCTGGGAAAAGTGGAAAAACAATATAGGTATAGACCAAAATCTCACACCATATAACAAGATAAGGTCAAAATAGCTACATGACTCACACATAAAGGGTGATACCATAAGCAAACTAAGAGAGCATGGAAAAGTTTATCTGTCAGATTTATGGATAAGGAAGAATTTAGGATCAAAGAAGATATAGAGAGCATTACAAAATAGATTATTTTGATTATATAAAAAGTTTTTGCATAAATAAAACCAATGCAACCAAAATTATAAGGAAAGCAGAAAACGGGGAAAATTTTGCAACAAGTTATCTCTGATAAAGGTCTCATTTCTCAAATACATAGAGAACTGAATCTAATTTATAAAAATACAAGTCATTCCCCAATTGATAAATCATCAAAGACTATGAACAGGCTTTTTTAGACAAAGAAATCAAAACTATCTATAGTCATATGAAAAAATGTTCTATATTCACTACTGATCAGAGAAATGCAAATTAAAACAGCTCTGAGGTACCACCTCACACCTATCACAGTGGCTAATATGACAAAAAAGGGAAATGTTGGATGTTGGTGGGGATGTGGGAAAACTAGGACAGTAACGCACTGCTGGTGGATTTGGGAGTGAATCCAACCATTCTGCAGAACAATTTGGAACTATGCCCAAAGGGCTATTAAAAACTGTGCATACCCTTTGATCTAGCAATACCACTGCTAGTTCTATATCCCAAAGACATTCAAAAAAAGGGAAAAGGACTTATTTGTACAAAAAATGTTATAGCAGCTCTTTTTGTGGTGGCTAAGAATTGGAAATCAAAGGGATGGCCATTAATTGGGGAATGGCTTAACCAAGATGTGGTATATGATTGTAATGGAATATTATTGTGCTGTAAGAAATGACAAGTAGGATGATTTTAGAAAAACCTAGAAAGACTTACATGAACATAGTGAAGAGCACAGTGAGGTGAACAGAGCTACGATTATGTTGCACACAGTAACAGCAATATTGTTCAATGAAGAACTCTGAATGACTTAGCTATTCTCAGTAATACAATGATCCAAGAAAATCACAAAAGACTAATGATAAAGCATACTATCCGCTTCCAGAGAAAGAACTGATATTGATTGAATATAGACTGAAGCACGCTATTTTTCACTTTTTCTTTCATTTTTTTTCTCATTTGAAGCTTATTATTATAGAAATCTTTTACATAATTGCACATATATAACCTATTTCTGATTGTTTATCGCCTTAGGGAGAGGAGGGAGAGGATAGAATTAGGAACTCAAAACTTTAAATAAAAATGTTAAAAAATTGGGTAAAAAATGTCAACAATGAATATTACCTGGCAACCTGCCTGCTGCAAGTGCATCCCCTGGTAAATGGCCATTCACACCGTTAGTGGATGGATTATTCATCTGACCCAACAATCCGCTTCTCATTTCTAAATCAGTTGGGTATGGTCGCCGTGGGTCCCCTTAAAATGAAACATAGTTTTTATCTTAATAACGTTAAAAAAAAAACAAACATCATATACCTTGTTGTACTTAGAAAAGCACTCACATGAACTGATTCAACATTTCTGGACAGCAATTTGGAACTATGCCCAAAACACTATAAAATTGTGCATACCTTTTGATCCAGCATATCCCAAAGACATCCAAAAAATGGGAAAAGGACCTATTTGTACAAAAATATTTATAGCAGTTCTTTTTGTGGTGGCAAAGAATTGGAAATTGAGGGGATGCCCATCAATTAGGGAATGGTTGAACAAGTTATGGTATATGAATGTAATGGAATACTATTGTTCTATAAGAAATGACGAGCAGGCAGATTTCAGAAAAACCTGGAAAGACTTAACATGAACTGATGCTGAGGAAAGTGAGCAGAACCAGGAGAATATTGTACACAGTAACAGAAATACTGTGCAATGATCAACTATGATAGACTTAGTTCTTCTCAGCAATACATAATGATCCAAGGCAATTCCAAAAGACTTGTGCTGGAAAATGCTAACTACATCCAGAGAAACAACTACAGAGTCTGAATGCAGAACAAAGCATATTATTTCCACTTTTTTGTTATTTTTCTTTCTAAAAGTGGTTTTGCCCTTTTGTTTTGATTCTTCTTTCACAACATGACTAATGTGGCAATATGTTTAACATAATTGTACATGTATAACTTCTATCAGATTGCCTGCTGTCTTGGACAGAGAGCAGGGAGAAAAAAATTTGGAACTCAAAATCTTACAAAAATGAATGTTGAAAATTATCTGTACATGTAATTGGAAAAAAATAAAATACTATTTTTTTTCCCAATTTTTTTTTTCCCTTTTTTTTGGTGAGGCAATTGGAGTTAAATGACTTGCCCAGGGTCACAAAACTAGGAAGGGTCAAGTGAGGCTGGATTTGAACTCAGGTCCTCCTGACTCCAAGGCCAGAACTCTATGCACTGTGCCACCTAGTTGCCCCAAAATAAAATACTATTAAGGAAAAAAAAATGACAAGCAGGATGATTTTAGAAAAACCTGGAAAGACTTACATGAACTTTTGCATAGTGGGGTAAACAGAACCAAGAGAACATTGTACAGAGTAACAGCAATATTGTTCAATGAAGAACTATGAATGACTTAGCTATTTTCAGCAACACAATGATCCAAGACAATCCCAAAGGGCTAATAATCCATACTATCCACCTCCAGAGAAAAAACTGATATTGATTGAATATAGATTGAAGCATGCTATTTTTCACTTTCTTTCTTTTATTTGAATCTTTTTGTACAAAATGACTAATACGGAAATGTTTTACATAACTGCACATGTATAACCTATATCTGATTAATTACCTTCTCAGGAAGGGGAAGGAGGGATAGAATTTGGAATTCAAAACTTTAAATAAAAATGTTAAAAAAATTGGAAAAAAACAAAAAAAGAAAAGCCCTCATGCTAGTTTGAATTCTGTGATATAAAATTCATCTGTTCAGTGGCATGCAAAGATCAGTATCCTAGGATATTTAAGAGTAAACTAAATTTAACTCTAAAAACTCATTCTTATGCTTCCTATTTATCTCTAGTTTTTCTCTAAAGAAGTTTGGCACGTGGTAGTATGCTCATCCCTAGATAGCAAAAGAAAAAAAAAAAGTCCCATTATTTTAGGAGACACTCCTAAAGGGAATTTATAAACAATGGAGGGAAATAATTTCCAAACTTGTAGCTTGTCTGAGGACAGAAAACAATATAATTTCATTCAGTATATCATATCATGATATGATGCCTTAAGAAACAGAACACAGAAATCTTGAAAGTGTGGAGAAAAGATGATAGAATAGCTATATGATGGCTTCAGTATTAGGATATAATTCTTGTGAAGTACTAAAGATGAAGACAGAGATAAGATACATAGGGCCAAAAAGATACTAACCCCAGGAGAGGCCCTGAAACTTTCTTTCTTTCTTTTTTTTGTTTGTTTGTTTTTGGCTAGGCAATGGGGTTAAGTGACTTGCCCAGGGTCACACAGCTAGTAAGTGTCATGTGTCTGAGGCCAGATTTGAACTCAGGTCCTCCTGACTCTAGGATTGGTACTCTATCCATTGCACCACCTGGCTGCTCCCTGAAACTTGCTTTCTTTTTTCTTTTTGTTTGTTTTGTTTTTTGAAACTTGCTTTTTTGAAAGATGTTAGCTTGCTTTTTGATAACTTCCCTCCTTATCCTCAAGCTAGAGTGAAGTATATGATCACTTGGGCAGTATAACATAAACACTTTTCTACAAAATTTGATTTAGTGAATCGAAGTCTAAGGCAATCTTCTTCCAAAATGCTTTCTTGTCCCGCAGAAACTGTCATCCCATAACCATTGCTATTATTCTCTTACTGGCAAAAAACCACTAAACACATCACTGATGACTGCTGCACTGCTAACTTCGTAGATCACAAGCAAATTCTTGCCAGTGTGTACCCAGACCTCTATTTCTCTCCTTTGTATTACAGCTATATCTGAGGGGGCAGGAAGGATGGGATTTGCTCCAAATCCCCGAATTACTTCATACCAGGTGATGATACTTCTGTATCCATGACACCAGGTCAAATTTTAGCAAACTCTCTTTAATATATAACTTTAAACAGGATTAAAAACAACATCACTCTACCCACCCTCCCCAATTTAAACAGTACTGAAGAACATGTAGCAGTAAAAAAAAAAAAGCTTTAACGTTATGTGATCTAAAATTTTACATAGTGTTTGTACGATAGATCAATTTTCTCATAAAATCTCCTTTGTAATAACCACTTCATATTTAAATCACCCAGACTCACTGGTTGAATTAATGAGGTGACATCTACAGCTAGGAAAATGATTTTTAGAAATATGAGATCCTAACCCTGCTTCCTCATCCAGGAACAATTACTAACGAATGAATAGCTACCCCTGGCTGATTATGATCAACATTCCCTTACCTTTTGGCTGGTGTCAACAGGTGATTCTCATGTTTGCTGCTCACAGTCTGGAGATGTATACTGCTAGATGTCTACTTCTCTCTTTGCGGGCATTTTTCTGTGCTGGGTTCTTTGGTGGGTGCTATAAGGAAACTCTCTTTGCTACCAAAAGGGGTAGTTTTCCTACTACTTCCAGTTGTGAAATTACTCTAGGAGTGTGAATTCTAGGACAAAGGTCCTCAGATAACTACTTTTTACTATAGAGTGTCCTATAATGGCCTATAATTTGCAAACCATACCTTCCATGTGACTGTTACATAAGAAGCTTAAAATGACAACTGTTGTTAAAAAAAGTTATTTCCTGGGATAAGTGTGTTTTATACACTTTAATCTACTTTTCTATTTTTATCTAAGTCTCGTGAAAGCTGTTCAACACACGAATATCTGGCATAGAAGAATTTTTTTTTACCTGGGACCCATGTTAGTGGGGCACACACAGCATTACTTGCACTGATTCTATGTGCGTACTTAATTATTTCTTCAGAAGAGATGGCACCTGAAAGAGAAAACATTTTAACCTAATCACATGTAAAGAGGACACATTCAATTTTACCACCTATCAAAAGCAAGATAATCCATGATGCTTGAGTTTCTCCATACTTTAATATTTCCAGCATCTGCATATATTTTGTATTAACTTGGCTGAAAATGAGCAAAAGTTCTTACAACCGCCCAACAAAATATGATATAGAATGTTAGCATCATGAAAGTTTCTTGAGGGTCGGGGATGGTTTTCCTTGTATCCCCAGGGTCTAATGCAGGGCCTTCCATACAGATGATCCTGATACTTGAATTAGAGGCATTGTGAGAAGCAGATAGAGAGATACAACCTAATAAAGAGGTGCACAGACCTAAGGCCATTCCAAATTATCAAGCACTGTTCTATAAACAAGTCATACTCATTCGGGCCTATATGCCTTTGCTCATATTATTCTCCTGCCTGGAAAACCCTCCCCCTTCCTCTTGCGGCTTATTCAAGGATGAGTCCAAATAGACACTTTTCAAGACCAAATTATTCTCCTCTCTCAATTTATAGTTTACTTATCGTTTGTACCATTCATTTTTGCATTTAGTCACATACTATCTTGTACTATCATTATAACTATTACTTGAGTGCACTGCTGTAACTAAACTGTCATTTCCTTGTAAAGGAGAAACAATGTCTTATGCTACCTCTGTACCTTTCACAGGGCCTATTGTAGGACCAACCAAATATAAAGACACTCAACAGACTATATTAAACTGAAAGTAAAGTAAGCAGGATTCAATATTGTAGAGAGAGATCAAAGTGTTAACCAAAAACTGGTCAATAAAGGATTTAAAAGTCCTTAAATATTTACATGGTAACATTTTATAAATACAGAAAAGCATTCTCAGAATCTATAGTACATTTTAACAATATCAAATTATAATCATTACCCTATTACTTCTTTGTCAATCAACCAACAATTTTATCTATTAAGCACTTACCCCTGTGCCAGATAGAGTGCTGGGTTCTAGGGATACAAGTACAAAGATTGAAACAATCCTTACTCATGATGATTTTACATTCTAATGAGGGAGACAAGTATATATAAAAATACATACATAGCTAGGTCAGTTTTCTCATTGTACAAACCTTTTCTTGCTTTATCTATGGATTTGAGTTTTTCTTTTGCTTGATAAACAGCTGTTGCCTAATTTAAATAAAGAAAAATAAAGATGTCTTATTTACAATCATGTTAGTTATATTTCTCGACTCAATACAAAAAAAAATCTGTTAGTTTTAATCCCATCAGATAAATATGGAATATTTAGAAATACCCATAACTTTTTATAAAATACCAGCTAGCAAACTAAATATAGAGCCAACCTGCAAAAAAAAACAAACCCAAAAACAAAAACAAAATTTTAAGAATCAGTGTTCTGTTAGCACTTCTATTATCAAAATTAAATTTTTTTGTTTATGGAATCTATTCCTAGATTATAACTCTTCCTATAAAATAAACTACTGCCTGAACAAAAGGGACTCACTTTGAAATTCAAGAACATTGACACTAACTATATGACATGCAAAAGGTTCAAACAAATAGATGATATTGATAACCTACATGCAAAAAAGAGTCCTATTCTTCAGGGTTCAAGATATTTAAACAGATAACCAGGCCAAAGCAAGGGATTTCTTTCATGTACAACATTACGTCTATCCAAATAGATGTTTTAAAACTACAATTACGTAGTCCAAATGAGAAAAATATTCCTCCAAGGTAAACTAGATGTATAAAACTAATGAAATTACTATAGTACTTATGGATTTTGCCTTCAAATTTTAAATGTTTATCATATAAATCACTTTTGACGTGTTAATGGAACTTCTCTATGTTATTGTGATGAGTTAGCATTAGCTATTCAGAAGGCTAAGCAAGTAAGAAATTATGGAGTTGATGTAAATAGTTGGAAAGGAATAAAGTATGGAGACTGAAATTTCAATGAGGAAAAAAATGAGTCAGAGAGGGCAGAAAGGAATCTAGGATTAAGTTAGCTAACACAAATGCAGGAGGATGAAAATTTAGAAAGTTAAGATAATAGACACAATTCAGTTCAGGAAGATTTCTGATTGTTGAGTTCAGGGAGAAAGAAAGAGTGCCAAGCATCAAGACATCACTTGGATCGAAGTTTTGCTTTAAAATTAGGAGCTGTGCCAACCAAGAAGGATCTTACTTCTCCAAGGGCTAAGCAAGCTAAGAGAAATTATTTTAACCTGGAGCCAAGGATAGCAACAAAAGGTAGTGGAGATGGCCTTCGGGCCAAAGAGACTTAAAGCAGGGGCTCCCATGCTTACCCTACTCTTTCTTTTGGAGAACCAGAAAAGCAGGAAGAAGAGACTTAAGTTAAAGCTTGAAGGCTCAAGGCACAGATCAGGGACTCTCTTGTACTTCCTCTAGCAAAGCTTTCTTTCCCCCTTTAGGTTAGCCAGGTGGGCAAGCTTATGGATTCCTTATCTGTTGCTTTCAGATCTCATTTACCTAAAATAAAACCCCAATGGCCGGAAAAAATGCTAAGCAGTGTACTCTAGGCTTACAAACAGATGGAAACAGAAGATAAGATGAGAATGTTCCTTATTCCAGGAAGAGAAAAAGTTTGAAGAACTGGAGCTGATTTGGGGACTGAAGCCTTTAGGGCAAAGAGAGAGGACAGCTAGCTCTATTAAACTGTACAAGACTGCTAGGTATAATCAGGATTCAGATGCTCCTAGAAATAAGCCCCAGTAGTGTGGTCCTAACAGCTCTGGCCTACAGATTATCTCCCGATGACCAAACCTCTGCTCTCTCTAGAATAAAAAGTGCTCCTTCCCTTATTTGTTCTCTATTAGACTTAAATAACACACTTACACAGAGCTGAGCATTTTCATAGGCTAATAGGATTTTTTCAGTAGGTAAATGAGATCTTAGTTGTTTAACAAAGTGACAAGCTTGCCCATAGCTCTAGCAGAGAAAGTAGGAGATTCTGATCCGTCCTTTGGGCCAGTTCTCACCTGCCTAGAATTGTGGGTCCCTGGCACGGAGGCTCTTGCTTCTGTCATAGGGCAGTATCAGTCCAGCTCTTTGGATAACCTGTCATGGTTTATCTCTGCTTACCCAATTTCATGTTCTACTCACCAGTCCCTTCTTTCTGTTTTTCCAGCTCTCCAAAAGAAGAGGAAAGGGGAACCTGGGAGTCCTCTTCTCCAAGTCTCTTTGCCCCAAAGGTAGGTTACAGTAGCTAAACAGATCAAGACTGGAGAAAATAACCTAAGGCAGAGACATCTTCTACACTGGGTAAGATTGGACCTTGTACCTGTAATCTGCTAACTCATTTATTTTATATCATGAAGGAATGACTACTATTAATTATATATCAAAGGGAGCTATATACAATACCTATTTGTCAATCAAAATTTGACCACTTTTTAATAGACATTTCTAAAACACAGTATATATTTCTTTGCCTTCTCTGAGTGTGTTAAATAAATCTCACCTTTTCTTGATGAATTAGGATCATGATTATAAACATTAATTATTGTTTTGTGCTGTAATTTAATAATATCATCAGATATTATTGTCGTATGTTTAATTCAACATTATAGAGCCCCAGGATACTATGCTTTTCTAAATTTCTATCTTTTTAGTTTTTTTTTCAATCCTTAATGACTGCTGTCTGCACTAGTCACTAATTTCAGCACGTCTAACAGCAGAAATGTCTCACCTCCCTTCTACTTTAGTATTGATGTGGGCTAAGAAACCACACGTGGTTTTTTTTAATGAGCATAAAGCAAATCGGCTTTAATGAATGGGATTGATAATACCTATTTCTGCTACTTAGAAGCCTCCTCAGAGGGTTCACAGCTATGTTCCTCAGGGTTAAAGAACCTGGAAGTCTGACTTTTGGGGTATTATTGAAGGAAGTAAGTTTATCTTAGGAATTTTCCCTAGTTAGAATTCTCTCTACCCTTCGCTTTATCCCTAGTCTAGTCTAGTCTTTTCTCTCAGTTAAGATCTGATCTTTCAAGATTTAGAAAACTGATTATTTCAGGTTATTCATTAATGGGAATTTTTGGGCCAAGCTTCATGGGTCATACAAGCTTACATTCCACTATGAAGATTCTTCATCTAGCACTTACCAATATCTGCTCTGCTTCCTTCAGCTGTTTCTGTAATTGTTGAATGTCACTATCTCTCTTCTCTACTTCTTTTTCTAGTAGTTGCATTTCATGATGAACTTTTCCTTGTTCAAGTGCCAATTTCATTAGTTCTTGAAACTCCCCATCTCTATGAATTAACAACTCTATAATCTGTCAGAAAATATTTAGTTTAATCAAGTATCATATTATTAAGAACCATATTCCAAACAAATATCTTAACGTGTTACTAATTTTGCTATATTGTAATCTCTGCACTTTAAAATTATTTTGTATCTCTTAAAATTAAAAAATGTCCCTTTTCTACAAGCACTGAATAAAGGTAAATACTAAAGATAAGATATAATATTGGTATAGACAACAGGCTACACCAAATGACTCTAAAATGAAATCTCCATGTAAGAAAAACAAAACTGGTATATACTAAAAGATAATAATACAATATTGATGAATATATATATATTATATACATGCTCTTTAAATTCAATTCAAATAATAAATGTTTTATTCATTTAATCCTAACTACTCTTCTTTAGTCACTTCATGATGTTATCATACTTTATTACTTTTGAAAGGCAGCATTTTTAAAACTAAAGGCAAGAGATTCATGAGATAACGTCTTTTAACTGTAGTTAAAATCCAACAAATAGATGAGCTCTGGGATAGTTCCTTCTTTTTTCTGTTTGGGGCAGCTTCCTTTTGGAAAAAAAAATCTGAATTCTGCTTTTGAAGTTTTTTCTTGAAGCATTTATTATTGTTTAAAGATTAAATAGTAAAGGTTTTTACAAATACAGAGTTATTTTATTAACTGCTAAATAATAGATTTTTTTTTCAATATGGTCATCCACATTTTTTACCAAACTAAGTCACCTGCCATCTCTAGGTCCCTCTCAAAATTAAAAGTCCACAAGATAGTCACAGTCACTTATTGAGAAGGATGGGTGACTCTTACAAAAGCTATAAAAGTATACTGAAATCTCAAAGAGATCAAAGAAAAAGGAAAAGGGCCCATATGTACAAAAATATTTACAGCAGGAATTTTTGTAGTGACAAAGAACTGGAAATAGAAGGGATGCCCATCAATTGGGGAATGGCTGAACAAGTCGTGGTATATGACTGTGATGGAATATTATTATGCTTTAAGAAATGACAAAGAGGATGATTTCAGAAAAACCAGGGAAGACTTATGTGAACTGATGCAAAATGAACTGAGCAGAACTTGGGAGAACACTGGACACAGTAACAGCAATATTGTAACAATGATCAACTATAAAGACTCGGTTATTCTGATGAATATAATGATCTGCAACAATTCCAAAGAATTCACGATGAGGGATGCTGTCCTCCTCCAAAGAGACAATGATGAACTCTAAGTGCAGACTGAAACATTTATTTCCATTTTCCTTATTTTTCTTGCCTTTTTTTTTGGCGGGGGGGGGCAACATAGCTAATATGGAAATATGTTTGGCATGACTTCACATGTATAATGAGGGTCATATGCTTGCCTTCTCAATGGATGGCAGGGAGGGGGAGAATTTGGAATTCAAAATTAAAAAATGAATGTTAGAAATGTGCACTGAAGTTCTTTGTAGTTCCTAAGGCCTCATCTAAACCACTTTTTATCTCTGGTGCTAAGAACATGATTATAGGTTGTACTTAGGTTTTGTGCAAATTAAAATGGGAGGTGGGTAGGTGGGGTGGGAACTACAAGCTTAATATGGATCACTGTGGTCTCTATTTTTTTTCTCTACTTTTCTCATTTTCCAGAGCAACTTGGGGTTTAAAACATGAGATACGTATATATATATTTTTTAACTATGCAATGATAAACTGCTTCCTGTCAAGACTAGTGACACTCCAAAATGTCATTTCAAAATGTATCATTTCAATTCCCTTTCCAATTAGGAGAGATCTGGGCCTCAATTATTAGAAATATAATTTTAAGTCATTACTGACAAAATAAAGTGAAATATTTACATAGTGCCTACTAGGTGCCAGGCATTGTGCTAATTGTTTTGCAAATATTATCTCATTTGATCCTGACAACAACTAAGAGGTATGTGCTATTACTTATTATCCCTATTTTATAGTTGAGGTAACTGAGGTAAAAAGGTTAAGTGCTATAGGTTTCACCAGACTGTCAAAGGGATTGATGACACAAAATGACTAAGAACCCCTTTTCTTATATTTTCTTTTAAAACTAATTTTATTGTTATCTTTTATTTTTACATTGCCAGTGGTTCCCTTTGTCACTATCACAGACAGCCAACCCTTAGAATAAAGAATTTCAACCATTTCAAAAAAAAAAAAAAAGGTTAAGTGATATTTGTCCAAGGTCACAGCAAGTTAGCATCTGAGGCTGGATTTGGACTCAGAACTTCTTAACTCCAGGCCCAGCACTCTATCCTCCTTGCCAGCTATTCAGTTTCTATTTCAAATGGCCAGTGCTTACTGCTTCATGTCCATTCCATAACTTTTATACAGAGAATTTTACTGGATTTGGTACACCTCTAAAGAAAGTTAAGAAGGACTAAGTTAGGTTTGGGGTTCAGTAAAGAGCACCGAATTACTGTACAGTAATTACAGTAATTACAGTATTAACTGGTACTATGACTAACCTATTGTCCAACTGTAGGTAACTTTCTGTGCCTTAGTTTCCTCATTTGTAATATAAAGTGTTTTAAACAACACTCTTTTTCATTCTTCTAGGCATATTGAAATGTTTGTATTTGTTGATAATTAAGTTCATAGTAAGAAAGAAAATAACCAAAAAAAGAAAATAAGGGAGTTAAATGATATTTAAGGTCTTTCTGGCTTTAAGAGTGTGTGTGTGTGTGTGTGTGTGTGTGTGTGTGTGTGTGTGTGTGTG